TCTTCCAGATGGCCTTTGGAATTATCCCCTTTACGTGCGATAATGAAATCTCACTCACTTTACAACTGCTTTCTATTGAGTTAACACATGGGCAACCCTCCTTCACTGAACATGGGATGTCATTGTTCCAGCCAGTGCTCGCTGCTCACTATAAATATCAGTCACAACTGAGATACTAAAAGCCCTGGACAATAACAGTAAAAAAAGCAGAGGTGATGCATGACGAGGTACACTGTAAAACAGGGGATTTTTCTGAAAAGCAGCATACAATCTTTCTGAAAACAAACAACCTGTCACTGGTGTCACAGTAAAGCCTTAGTAGTGTATAATGTATGTACTGCTTTGTCTTGGTGAATTCATTGTAATATTCTTCTTGTATAAAGCATCATTTGACCAGTGACATTCAATCTCCAGACTGCATTTTATCTTGGAATTTCAAACATGGGTGCCACAATTTATCTTACTGTATCTTTGACCATGAATACAGGGTGGTTGCTTGAGAGTTTTTATAATCAATTGATATCAACCAATATTGCACTCTGTACATTCAATAACATAGTGTAAACTCTTGTTTACACTGTGGTCCATGACAGGAAACAGACTAGTAAAAAGAGGCAGCAGGTCAGTCAGAGCACTCACTGGCCAATAAAGAAGGCAATAAAAGGCTCCAGCCTTACTGTAACAGTTCATTAGGCAGAGCGGCTGCTGTGGATCCCACTAATCACAGACATGGTCCTACAGCTCTACTACACATGGGCTCTTTGTCTACATTGTTTGTGTACATTTTAAGTCAAATTTTCTTGCTTCAGTATTTACTCAGCTGAAGTTTTGGAGAAGTGTGAGCTTTACAAATGGAGAGTCTGCATACTTATAATCATACTTATAATTAATTCCTTTATCATTGTTGTAAAGCCTATGCTTGTATGCTCTCTCTGATTGGCTCCTAAAGACCATGGATGATGTTCATCTGTGCACAGCCACTTGAAGAGTGAGCTCATGAGTGCAGTTTAGATCTGTCTGTTGTTATCTCTCCTGGCTCACAATACATTCACCAACTGGTCTCTACAAAAAGGCCTCAGTAATCACCACAGGAAGTGCAACGCTCTAAGCAGCAGCTGATGGACAAAGGTCTGATGTTTATCACTGAATGGAGTAGAGCTGTACAGAACATGAGAAGACTGGCTCCACTACAGTAGTGGGCTTTACATTTCTACAGACTGCAGACGAAAGCCACAAACAGCATTCAGATGAGAGGAGAGATGTGCCTGAACTACACATATGCGAGGCAATACGCTATCATCCCATAAAAACTATTCGAGTGAAGATGACCGGATGTGGCTAAAACGGTGGAGGTGGTGGATCTGATAGCCAACCACCAGATCAGTCCAAAGCACATGTTGCACCAAAGTATTCAGACACACTATAATGTTTTCACTACTTCATTTTTAAACAAAACTGCACATCTGATATAGTGACCTAAAAGCTAATGAGTATTGTGCAACTTTGCACATACATCGCTTTATGTCCAGGAGGAACTGGAGCTGTTACACATAAAACATAGTCTGTTGTTGAGTATGGCAAACATAAAGCATGGCAGGGTTTGTGCATCTGTGGCACCTGCCTGAGTTTCCACACATCCAGCTGCGGCCATGACAACCACCCTGCCCCTGGGAACTAATGTTAAGTGCCACTGACCCCCGGGAGCAGGGCACAGTGGCACACACATGCTACACTCACTCCACCATGCAGCCTGAGCAGAGTCAAACACATGGCTGTGGATGTGTCACTCTGTCTTCTGCTTCAGCCTGTGGTGACTGACTATTCTGCTTTGGGCTCAGATTTACACAAAGTTTAATGTGATTACAGCACAGGGCAGACTCTCACCATGGTGCTGGTTTGGCCCTCTGCAGGATGAACACTGTGTATGCAGAGTTTGAATTTCTAAAGACAATTGCGTATTTCCATAATTTTTTTCACTCCAGCAGCTGGACAAACAACATCCAGCTTTTTGAAAACAGTGTTTGAAATAAGGATGAATACCTGAAGTGAAAAAACCTGTTACAGTTATTTTGATAGTTTACAACAAATATAGCAGATTACTTTTACTACATTTTGTTGCTGAATATAGTTACCAGCAGTGTATGCTCTAAGTTACTCTCTAATGGCAAATATTCAATTTACTGAGCCTTAGTTTGTCTGTTGTCCAAGAACTTTTTTTTTTTTACAAACACTAACAAACTTAACTCTTGCTCTATATTTGGCCCATTGAAAAAGGGAAAAAAGAGGTCACAGCATAAAGACCTTCTGTTATGTTATACTGCATGTTCTAATATAAGTTCTAATATTTTTGTACCCTTTTCTATTACACAATGACTCTGTCATCTGCCTTTCAGCTTTGAGACTTTGAGACTGACATAGAGCTCATTGGCATTAAACAAAAAATCAACAATTATAGGACTCAGGCCTATTTAGAAAAAAATCATTCTATTCAATAAGACACTTACAACTGTATGACATTATGACATTACATAATGATACAAATGATACTCTCCAATGCTTCAGTGGCACTTTCTGTGTAGTCTGCTCCACTGATCCCAGAGCTGGTGTGGGATCAGTCCCTGGGCCATACTGAGCACTGGAACCCAGTCTTCCAGTGAGACATGCTATACAATGCCCTCACCTCAAGAGCCCTAAATGTGATTAGATTTGCAAGAATATATCCAAAATGCTGTTATTTTTGCTTATCACAGTCACAGAGAAATACAGAGAAAGTTTAGAAAATGCCATGAATTAAACCATAAACTGGTACATGAACATATAAACTTGCATTGCTTGAATACAAACACCCCCTCCCGTGTTCTCAGCACTGTGAACATGAACGTGACATGTTGAATTTTCTCCTCAGAGAAAAGATCTATATGTGGGGACATCTACAAAACCTTTAGGTCATGGTAAGAAGTCTCAAGAGGCCTAGAGTACTGCATGGATGGAGATGGCATTAACAATATAATCTGCATACTGTATCTGTGGCACTGTGCTCAGAAAGTGTATAGGCAATGCTGCTATGGTTATATTGATTTGCTTTAAAAAATACATGAAAAGTGCATGTGTTCACTTTGCTAAGTCCATAAAGATGGAAATATGATAGTAGGAAAGCATGCACTCATTGTATATGACATTTTCAATCACATTTTTATATAGCACTTTCCACCTACAAGGCACTAAAGGCACTTTACAACAAGCACAACCACTCACACATTCACACACCAGTGTACACAGGCACTGAGGGTGAGGTGAGTTAAGTCTTGCCCAAGGACACAACAACAGCATTCATCTGTGGAAGCTGGAATCGCATTGCTAACCTGTGGGACTGCTCAACCCACAGGTTGGTTGTGGGACCACTCAAACAGTTATGCTTATGTCATTTGCACCACCAACCTTCTGATCAGCAGACAAATGCTCTACCAACTGAGCTAATGCCACCCAGTTACTGCTCATTCCATAATCTGAAAACCCACAGAGCCCCCATTGAATCTATATGTTTTTATGAGTCACAGTTAACTTACATATACAACTAATATCAAGTGATGTAATAACAAACCCAAAGTATTCACTTCACTATTCCCATTAACTTGTCACACAGCCCGAGAAGCAGCCAAGCTTAGCCCAGAATGCATTCATCAATCCTCCTCCAATGCTTCCTGTCCTCACAAAAGCTTTGATCCTCTAAGCCTGCAGAGTTACAGTATCAGAGCTCACTTACACTAAAACCCACACTCACACAGGAGGAGCAGCTCGAGGCCTTTGAGTCAATATAATCTAACCTGCATTTCCCCCACCTGGAATACACAGACTTTGGAGCAAATCCTGCAAATATGTGCCGCCTCATCTTAATTTATATGTTGTATGACACCCATCGACTAGTCAATGCTAAAGGCTTTGCTCACACAACACAATTAGGCCACTAGATCTTTGTACCGCAGAGGGGTGAGGTGGACCTCAGCCTGGTCTCCCCATGGTTCCACTGACAGGGGATAAAGGGATAAAGAGCCTCTGCTCAGGGACTGATTACTTACATCTGCCAGACTAAATCCCAGTGCCCACAAACACAACCGCTGCACTGCTAGCAACCAAAGCACTCATGCATTGTTTTCTGACATAAGCAGAACACGCATGTTTATAGGGGGAATTATGCCGTTCTAATCAAATCCCTATCTCAGTGTACAAAAGTAGTTTTCACTTAGCTAATTTAACAAACTGTAAAAGTGCACCATAGTCAGATCTAGATTTATGGATGTCTCATTAAAACTCGAGAGCCAATGGCCTGGGAAACCTTGAAGGATTTCACATGCAAAAGTCTACTAAACATGTGAGCAGGCTTGCATCATATTGAAATTATTTTCAAACCTTAGTGGAGCTATGCCTGTAATGCATTCTGAAGTGATGCTTCCTCATATAAGTATTCATATAAATAATATGTAACCTATAGCCTACCATATGCAGGGTATGTACGTTTCAATAAAGAAACTGAAAAACGTAACAACTGGCCTACTGCCACTTCAGGTAGCATGGAGGAATGATTACTATTTTAAAAGATGGACTGATTCGTGACTAAAATTCTTAGTGTTGCGCAACAGAATGTAGGCCTACCAAATGAACTCTGTCCTTATCCTATGGTCAAATATGAATGACACGTATGAAATCTCACCGCGTGGATACTTCTGCGCCACACTGACCGCTACACCCACATCCCGAATGCTGGACACTCTGCACCCATCACTTCGATTACAGGCTATTCAGACATTACACAGAGACAATAAGTCCGCTACAGGGCAGGGGTGTTTAATTTGATTTTACATCATGCGCAGACACCAGACCCTTGCCTTCCCCGCTGAACGCACACCGTGGAGCGCTGCGGGCAAAAGCGCGAGCGCAGCACACAGGCGCACACACACAACGGTTGCAGCTGCAGCTTAGTGAAAAGCTTTAGTAATGTTTACCTCGGTGTCATAGATTTTTGTGATGAGAGAGAAGGTATATTTCCTGGACTCCCGGATGTGCTTGATGGCCAGCTGGACCGCAGGCTCAATACCCTGGCTGATACTGCTCATCAGAGCAGACTCGTTCATTGGCATAAGAACCATTATGGGTAAGTTCTCGCCGTCCTTGGCAAACCAGTTGTTGTCCTGCCCGTGTTTGGTGCGGTCGTTGCACACCTTGGCCAGGGCGAACTGGAAGAGTAGGGCAGATAGAAGCAGGCATCCCATCGGAAGGAACATCCCCAAGCCACCGCAGTCCCATCGGGATGGAGCCATGCTACCGTGTGCAGTGACCAAAATGATCCCCAATGCCTTACTGACCGGGCATCGCAAGCCCCTGCACTCGTCCGGAGTGCTCAGACGCTCACCCGTCGAGGAAACAAAACAGAGTAGACGAGCACCGCAGAAGCCCCTGCAGTGGGCAGCGCGTCTTTTCACACTGACACAAATTGAGCAAATATTTCTACTCTATGACCGCTCCAATCAAAGATTATTCCGAATACAAGGCTTAGCGGAGCAAAAGAAATACATAACCAGTCGTCTTCAGTCAGTGAAGCATCTCATTTACTCTTCTTCACCTTTATCTTGAGACACTTATCTGAGGCAAACATATGTCCCGGCGGTTAACCTTTGTAAAGATGAGATCAATCGTCAACAGTTGAAGCAGAAACGTCTAAAGTAAATTCCCAGAGAAAAGCCACCACGCGCATCCTTGCAAAACGCAACGCTAAATATGCGTCTGAAACGTTTTTTTCGCACTGAGGACAGAAATGCCAGGTACGAGCTTGGCTGCAGTGTTCCGAGGACGCGATGTCGAGAAAGAATATCTTCAGTGCAGCCAGTGGGGCTGGGATGCTCCTCTCCGATGGTGCGTCAGAGAAGCACAGCCAGCGCTGCTGCTGCTCACAGCGCGCGCAAGAGGGAGCAGTGAGGAGGAGGAGGAGGAGAGGAAGGGGGTGGGGGTAGGCTGCAACGGCTTTATGTGGATAGCCTCATCTGCGGTTAGACAGTTAATGCAGATTTACTCTGCCTTCAAACCATCGGCAGACAAATATAAATTTGAGTGTAAAACTATAGGTTGAACGTGATAAAATAAGTAGACTGTGAAAAGCATAAATGTTCACGCGTTATATCTAACCGTCTTGATACTTGTTTGACTAAAACATGATGATACACAAGGTAGGCCTCTAGGTCTACATCTTTTAATAAAGACAATCACTTTGCAGCTAACACTAGGTGCGTTTGTAAATCAGTGTGCTCATGCAAGAGTAAGCGCGCGCACAAGCAGAACCTAATTCAGCACCACGGATAGCTTCAGACCAATGTCCTTTCAAATGTAAGCTCTTTTCACAACACTTAACTCACTCAGTGTATCGGTTCTCTTAAGTGAAACCCCAGTATATTAGCTATTGTTCTCTTTTTACAGTTTTACAATTAAATTAATAACTGCTATAACTTAAAACAAACAAACAAACAAACAAAAAAAACTTTCAAGTGTTTCACAATGTACACCATAAAATTAATACATAATGTATTGCTGTAGCTAGAGCTACCCATTATTTAAATTTGCACCACTGGAGTATGGATTATGCATTGTGTGATTTATTAGTGTATATAGTTATATAGTTTACCTTTCTCAGTTAATGAAACACATGAGTGTTTTATAGCTGCATACATTATGTCCTGTTAAAGATATACTGACACAAAGAAAAAAAAAGTTTCCCCTAGCCTCTTGAGTTAGGTCAGATAAGTAAGCAGTGATTGCTATAAATCATTATTGAAAGCACTGAGCCATACAGAAGAATAATATAGAATATTTATGTGATTGGCATATTCATAATTATGCAATTCCCTCCAATTTGTAGATTTTTGCATCCCCAGCACAGTCATAGCACAGACACCTCTGGTTCATTGCTGACATTTCTATATGGTTAGCTCTAGCATCACCCAACTATTAGAGAATTTATTCGTCTTTAACATTTTCAGTTTCCTTTTCAGAAGCTGTATGCTATGCGCTTTTTGGCCAACTTGTCTTCAAACTGTCCCTTTTACCTATTTAAGCCTCCTTCTGTGGAAGCGTAGTCAGGCTTGAAGAGCCAATACTAACACACAGTGTTGAGAATTCAAGTTCACTGGGTCACGGGCTGATAAATAAACTTCACCCACCTCAGACATTCAGAGTCTCCTCTCTCTCTGTACAACTCTAGGACTCATTAGGACAACACTTATTTTCCCTAACACAATCCACTTTATTTCTACAGGACATTTTATAAACAAATACTGTTTCCAAAGGGTGACACATGAAGAAAAAAAATGTTGTAGGCAAGATAGTAGCATATATAGTGCTCAAAAAATGTGAAAAGTGACTACACCACTCAGGTCACACTGTCAGACCTGGTAATTAGGGCCTGAGGAAGCATCAGGGCAGACCAAATGAGTTGGTGAGCTGGCTTGAGCAAGGCTTTCACACACTAGCCCCAAACTATACAAACAGTGTCTCAAATTAGAGCCAAAGGAGGAACGCTTTCACACAAAAACAGAAACAAGCATTTAGACTTTACCAAATCAACACCAATGCAAACATCAAATTTTTTGAAAGACAAAAATCACTACATATACCCACCACACTATATATGTGTGTGTGTGTGTGTGTGTGTGTGTGCGTGCGTGTGTGTGTGCGTGTTTGCGTGTGTGTGTGATTTTTTGTGCTATGTGAACACCACATTAACTCCGTACAGTGTCCTAATAGACAGCAGGCCCCTTAGTACAGATTGAACATGCTTTAGCTGGCACAACCAGCACTCAGCCTCCTCTCCACACTTCAGCCCAAGAACACAGTTCACTTGACATCTGCTGTAAAACAGTTCCCCTTTGACAGGTGCCTAAAATTATATTGTGTTATCCACCTTTGATTCAAACGTGTGCTGTACATTTTATGTACCTATGCAGGTTTGGTAGTATTCTACAGGTAGTAAGTTGGGGACATAAAACAAATAGAGAATAATTAACAAGAATATATCCTAAATCTTAAAGTATGTTTCAAATCCTCCATCAATGTAAAAACGTATACAGTGATACATTTCCAACCAGTCCCATCTCATCCTCCAAAAGGGATGCCGTTCTTTTTTTAAAGCAGATAATTTTCTATTGCAATTCCTACGCACATGTTAGGGCCACCTGCCCTGTGTTGCCCAAACAGCAACAGCAATGCTCTTCTATGACCACATCCTTTACTGATACGCAAAGCTGTAGACTGGCAAAAAGAAGTGAGTTAGTAATAATATTTCTGATTGGATGAATACAAAAATCATGCTTTTGTGAAACAAAGCACTCTTCTTCTCTGAGTGTCCCTGGCACAGGTGCCCAGTGAAGCTGCTGTGTGCCAGGCTCAGATCAGCTGATGTGAACGATCGATCCGTGGCAGACTCTCTTCATTAGGAGTCCCTGGGGCCAGGCCACCTGCCACTCACTCACCAGTGCTCTCTCTGTTCAACTGCAGCGCACAGTCCGCCACTGGCCATCCAAATAGATTTTGTGTCCCAATGTCTTATCTCTTCTGCTTCTTCTGTGCCGCTGTTGTTGATAGGGAAAGAGCTGCTACAATGCTGACACTCATCTAATCATGAATTCTATTCATTCTATTCATGTATTCAAACTACTAACAACTAACTTTTAAATTAGACTTTTATCTTATTAACATCTGTCATAGCAGTAGTGATAGAAGTAACAGTAATGGAAGTAACAATTGTACAAATGAAGCAGAGCACTGTAATTTAAACTTTGGTCTGCAGGTCAACTAATGCTCACATACTGAAAATGTTTCAACATATGCAATTCAGTTTTATGAATGCCTCACAAAAATGTTATGAAAGCACAGAAGGTTAGCTATCTTCTTCAATTTAAATACAATTAAATAATTGAGCTGTTAAAATGTTTCCTGTTTTTGCAGTTAAAATCCCTACTCTGTTTTTCATCTACCTGAGCAACAATAACCAAAACCTAACCCTGACTGCCAAATAAGACAGGTTGGTTTGTTTAGTAAATCAAACAGCTTAAAGCTAATCACATTTTGAAGTAGGTAATCAAAGAGCTGCAGTGGGTATGAGTGAAGCTAGCCAACAGGCCTGGCACACGGCACTTCCCCTCCACAAACACACAAAGGTCTAATAGCTGTGCCACTTGAGCTTGGTAAAAGCGGCTGATGAAAGCAGAGCTCAGCAGAGAGTGGTGCTGGCCCTGCTTCCTGCCACTCCTCCACATGTCTGCAGCCTCATTACCACCAAGTACAGGCCCACACCGTGCAATCTCATACTAGTACACGTGGAGCACCCCTCACCTGTCATTTGTGCTTATGCCATCAAACTGACATTTATACTATCCTTGTACTTCAACTTTCTGACCAAAACCTTTAAAGTACAGAATACATTAGACAGGCTGGGAGCCATGGCGGTATGTTTGATCATGTTTTATGAAGTAATTTATCTTTAAAACAATATCAAAAGGACATGCAAACTAACTAATAGCTAATCTTCATCCATGGCCCTCCCCTTGTGCTATTCACTACTCATCTATTTGCTCACACATTGTAAACGTATAGAAAGATGCACTTACATAAGCTACCTTAACTGACCCTGGCTGCCCAGTGCTCCCCTATGCTCTCCAGTGATTGGCTAGTCCACACTGAGATCCGGGGGCTGCTTGGATAATACTCTTGGAAAAAAAGCCAGCAGGGGTAGATGAGGTTATAACCACAAGCAATTAGCGCATCGTCTGACAGAGTGTTCTCTTCTTATGTTTCTGCTCAGAGGTTTCCGGAGCCTTGCCATGTTGAGCTGCATCGATCAGGAAACAGCAAAGGTCAGTAGACTGGCTCAGCGCCGGCATCACCACCACGGGCCCTGGCACACTCTTAGCCCCACCTGCCCACTGGAGCCCACAGTAGATGCCTGGGTCCTATTTTATACAGGTCTGTTGGTTTTTATATGGTATGTTTTTATTATTATTATGTTTTTGGAGAAGCTCTCAGCACAGTATGGTATGTTATTCACTCTGTTCCCACTTGAATAAAAGGGCTATAAGGTCAAATAATTTTATCAAGGGATAAAAAAGAAAAACTCAAATAACTATAAAGTTATTGATATAACTGAAGATAGAAAATAAAACTATCCTGGGCAACAGTAGCTCAGTTACAAAGGTTGGCAGTTCGAATCCCACCCTCAACATAAACATCATTGGGAGAGCGGTCAGATCCACTCACTCACAGGTTGGTGATGCGA